GTCGGGTTATATCAGTTCGGGTCCAAGTACAACCCGACCCGGACCCGAACCCGACCCAGTTTTTTTCGGATTGAAAAATCACAACCCGAACCGGTTGGAGCATTACCTTCATTTTTGTTGTCCGTTTAAATGGAATAGTCCCCACCGCTTGGGACGATATGAGAATGATGTGGCTGCTCGTGAGGCAGGTCCGAGTGTAAATAATCTGTTCTCAATGATTCGTTTTTGACCAATTGTTTCATTGGGCGATTGTTGGTATTACCTTGTCCGTTTATTTGGTCAGATTCTTTATAATCGATTTGGAGGTCGTAGTCCAATTCATGATTTTGTTTAAATGGAATAGTCCCCGCCACTTGGGACGATACAAGAATGATGTGGCCGCTCGTGAGGCAGGTCCGAGTGTAAATGATCTGTCCTCAATGATTCATTTCTAACCAATCATTTCATTGGGCGGTAATTAGAATAAATAAACTGGTACCAGTGGTTTCTCGTCGAACGCCTCATGATTTTTTTATGCAGTCGCTTCGGTGAAAAGGTTCAATTCCTTTCGGTATCATTTGGTACGGTGTTGCTTTAGCGGAATGTTATATTGGCTTGGGGTCCTTCCATTATGACAGATTAATTGAGTCCAAGTAGATTCACTTATCCTAGCCATAGGTCCGAGTTGCCTAGTATTCGATGAGCAGTTGTCGACTTTTTATCCCTTGCGTTTTTCTTCGATTGTCTCGTCCGATAGATCTTGTTTAATCGGCATCTGTCTTCCAGTTAGATTTGGTTTGCTTCGGTCTTGTAATGAAGCTGGTTCTCCCGCCTCTGGAGATATAAAGATATAAATAAATAAGTTGCTTGAAAATTTCGTATAGACGATACATACGACGTTTAATTTATTATTCGTTACCAATGGGTAATTTCGATGCAAGTACTGTTGTTAGTTACACTCGTAACACCGTGCTGAAAATGAAAAACGTGACAAAAATGAAAAAGAATATCAGACAAAGAGAAAATCGTGACCAAAAAAAAAGAGAGAATTATGCGGGATGTAAATATAGGGTACTTAATTGAGAGGACACAAAAGAACATATTGGACCTATAACACGGCCCAAACCAATCCTTCCGAATTAAGAGGATCGCCAAAACGGTTTTGTCACAGATCTCTTTCTTAAACATTTCATTTAGTGTTCTTTTTTTTATTTTCTTATTTTTTTATTTTCACGGTTTTCTCTCTTTTCCTCACGGATCTTTCTTTATGTTGTTCTCTTGAATTAAATCACGATTTTCTCCATTAAAAATTTTGTTTGTGTCTTATAGCTCTTCTCTTCTCATTGTGATTTCTCTCTTAAACAATTCTTAATTATACCTTGCAGACACTGCTTTTTATTTTCTTAAAATCGTATTATTTTTATATTGATTGAAGTCATAGAAAAAATGATACTCTTATGTAAAACTCTAAAAACATGTATATAAGAAAGGCCTACGGGCCTCAATAAAAGATCAGAATTGTTGCGTACAGTTATTCTCCAAGTAAAATAAGACTTGTAAAATCCCCTCGTAATAATTGATTGAATTTGCTGACGGTTAGGACCTTAATCCAGAAAAGGCAACGTTTAGAAGATCGACAACGGTAATCGATCTTGGTAAAGAAACGCGTAATAGCTATAGTTAATAGAAAGCTCAATTAAATTTAGAAGTTATTAAATAAAGAAAACATCTTAACATACATTACCCAAAGTCCAACGTCAAATACGATATCGACACAGGCAAAACCAATTGTTGTCCAAAACTCTTGCTCTCCCAAAAATCGCCGTTTATAGGAAAATCCTTCCTTTTTAATAGAAACACAAAATCCTCGTAACAATATCCAATACTTTAATTGTAAAGGATTTGCATCCAAACACTTTAGCCACGTTGCTAAATAACCTTTGATAAGAACTATAATATAACTATAATATAACGTATTTTTCTTGTGTTTGGATGCAAATCCTTTATAGTTTAAATGATTTGCACCATACAGCCGCAAAAAAAAGTCTTTTGATTCTGTGTGATTTTTAGTCTAACTAGCAATTAAAAAAGCTTTTGAGCGATAAATAAATTCGCTACAATCTCAATCATCCTTAGCTTCAAAAAAATGAACAATATCGAATATTTATCAGAGACTGAAAAAGAGTTTCTGAATGAATGCCCTTATACTCTAACTCTCGCAATTAAAGGATTGACAAAGCCTGCCAATAAAACAACCGCTATGATCACAAAACGGTTGGATTATATTTCGAAAAGATTACGTATGAACACTGATGTTAAGTAAAAGTTAAAATACAAAGGAATGTAGCTTAAAATGAAAAACTCTTTTACAAATAATGGAAAAAATAATAGCTTGTGAGAATCATAAACGTATTCTAATTATAAATATAAACAAGAAAAAATACCAAAAGTCAAACTGCAAAACAGAAAAAACATGTATTTATTTTACCAGCTATGTTAGGTACAATAAATTTTAATTCATCTCAAGAAACAATACAATTCGCCCTTTAACTTTCAATTCACCTCAAAAAGTAATGTAAATCGATGGGTTGTCATTAATCTCGACAACCTTTTATAAATCCATGCAACATAGATAAAGCTCTTGCAAACAAATTGATTCCTTCTAAGTAAAAAAAAACTCATGAAATCAAATATATGACAAACTATTATTTCTCAATTATAGTTTGTTATATGATAATTTCTTTTTACTTAAATGTTTTATAATATATAATTTAATGCTAAATGTGCGGGACGCATTTAGACAAATTTGCGAATTTTATTAGACTATTCATTATCGTTATCTTGTGTGTTCTTTCGTCTGCGTTATGTTCTTTCGAACTGTCGTTAGCTTCTTATGTTTTGATAGTATCTTTGGTTTATTTAGTCATTATTAAGCTCAAGTTAGTTTAAATAAACAAAAAATCGAAAAGATCAGTTCATTGAACGATCTGACAGATTGATTATGAGTATCCGATTGGATGAAAGATTCTAATTATTTACCACCTTGTAGTTGGGGAAATGTCTTGCCAGTGAAATGGGTGGTCAGCGAAATGGGTTGTCGGGGAAAACGTCGTATCAGGGAAGTTTCAATTTACTCTTCACAATTTTTAATTTTATATATATTTTTTAATAAGCCAAACATTTTTTCTTAATTGGTGAAGACTATTAACTTAGTAAATTTTGCGCAATCGAGTCAAATTGATCCATAAACGACTCTGTCACAATCACCTTCATAGAAATGCCATCTTTAGAAGGAGGCCAATTACATGTATACGGCAGAAATTTTTCTGCTATTATTACTCTCCGTGCGGACCGTAATCTATTAGTATTGAAAACGAGTTATTAACTATAATGTTCTTGCAATTTCATCTCCTCATCATGTTATCTAGCCTCTGCCATTTTTCACGTGTTTTAGTACTGAAAATGCAAAGCATTCGGTTGCCACTCGTTTAAATCGATATCTATATCGCACAAATACAAAGAGTCAATAAATTCTTTAAGCTTCTCAGCAGTTAGTTTGTTTATTTAGTATCTTAGGTCGTACTCCTTTACAATATATACAGTTAACTATGTTTACAACGAACTGATGATTCTATTAATAAAATTTCGTTATATCAGATTTACTTACTATATTTTATATAGAGAACTCATAATAAATTTAAAAATTGTGAGTTCGTTATATCCCGTTTCGTTATAAAAAGGTTCAGAGTTGACTGTATAATGATTTCGCTCGCTCATCTCGTACACAATTACCCCAAAATATCTGCAGCTTGAGTGTATGAGTACGTGTTTAGAGCGTCACGATGTATACGTAACGGTCTCTTCGTTGGATTTTACTATCGCTGTTACTAATCTTTAAACCAATTCAATTTTTATAGTTCGCATATTGCTATCGAGTATTCATTCTATAATAAACTATTCCGTTGAAATCAGAAGTATACTTAGAGCAGACTGAATATATTTTTTTTTAAAAAAATTTCTTAATGTTGTTTACAAATTTGCAATTTATTTTTTTCATGGTCTCAAAGCACATTAATGGTCCGTCCAACTAGGTTGCTTTGTAAATTGTCATTCGCAAGATATTCGACATTGGTGAGTCTTTCAAAAAGGATCCATTCAAAAAAGTTCGGCTAATTTCTCTCACTTTTTTATTAACTTTATTTTCGCTAGACTATTCAACTTCATAAATTCGTTCGTGATACTCTAAACATTCATCGCAGTGATCACTAAAATCATGAGTATTGTGATCTGAACATTCATAAGCAATTGTCAATATTTACTACAATCATGAGTATTCGAAATGTTAGATTTCATCTTTGCGTTCACTTTATAAAATGATTTTAGTGATTATGTGCTGTGCTTTATTTAATGATTTAAAAGCAGCGAGATAATAACAATGATTTATATATGTGGAAGTCGATTCTGCGTTAAGAACTGATTGTGTTAAAAGAAGAGCCGTATCCTTCCTTTAGGTATATAAATCAATTCTGTGTAAGAAGTTCGCATACAGATAACAGACAACGATGACATACATTCGAGTTTCTTTTTAAAACGATATATGCTTTAGATGACAGATAATTATGTATTCTTTACTGCACCGATGTATACTTTGTTCTAAAGCTCTCAAATCAATCTGGCGGCCTATCTGTTAACACTTTTAAAATAAGGGTACTTGATTAATCAGAGTTTAAATAGTATACCGAAAAACTCCAGTTATTTTATCTTCATCTGGAGGGAGTATGTCGATTTAGCAAGAAATCTGGGTTGTCGCTATATATATTTGATTGGTCCGTCCTTGTATGTAAATTTTCGTATATGCAGACAATGAGTTGTGCGCAAGAAGCAAGAATAAATTACGAATTTAAGTATGTCATTATAATTAGCAAAAAGAGACTCTTCGTATCTTTATCATTTCATTCTGCTATAAATAGCAATTTCAACTAAAAAGATTTTCTGAACCAGCAGAAAATACATGACACTATTTACAATTTTGTCCATTTTTGACCATTTATAACAGTAAAAACCGGTCGACTTTTAGCCCACTCACGCATCGCTAAATCATTATTATTAACGATGTCTGCCAATTCTGCCAAATGCCGTTGACGTTTTTTCACCAGCCACATTCGTGTCAACGCCACCGATACAATCGCAATTGCTGTGACTGAGGCAAAAATGATGCCTATTAATGCACCTACTGAAAGAGATTCAGTGTACGAAGGAGGATTATAGTTCAAATCGAATCCGTTTATTGTTGGCAGATTAAGGTTATCATCTTTAAGTGTCGGTCCTATTATAGCGATTTCTGTTGTCCAATTTCTGGATGTCATGTTATACGCTATCATACTATCTGTAGTATTATATCCCAGTGGACCGGCAATACCACCATGAATCTGAAATATGTAAAATTCGGATTTTAATATTCATTTTTTTACGATTACTCAAAGTACGACAGAAAATCACCAAAACAACATCCGATCCAAAAATGAGAGTAGCTGCTGCTCTTCGTCTATTAATTATGAAGTTACTCGACACTTCGACATTACTCATTTGAAAAGTTTCCAAATCAAATTCTATCACCACAATTGGCTTGTATTCTGTCACTTGACTATCACACAAAATAATTATATGGAGCTTATCGACGAGAACTCCGACGATAGCGTCACTAATTGACCTGGAAACATTGATGTTTGGACGAACGAAGCCATAGTTCGGGTTGTAAATATACATTTCTTTATGAGATTCAAATCCAGTTAGTTCTTTTGTTAGACCACCAAATATAAATGCGTTTCCTTTTGAACTTGCGATCCCAGGTGAATTAGTCACGTTTAAGTTTGTATTCTTTTTATAGATTAAAAATTATAAGTAAATTTGATTAAAAATAAAAATTCTTTTCTGCTTTAACTTACATTTGTTTGAATCGGTGTCCATTGCCATGGCCCATTCATCGTCAAAGTGAGATTATAGACAAATGAATTTGTATCATCCCCATTGTAAGAAGCAGCCCAAATAAAAACAACCCCAGGCTGTATAAGAGTTGCACGTGGTCTATAACTTATATAAGTTGGTGTAATAAATTCTTGTGGAATCCCTTGAATCAGATTCGGTTCATTCCACAACTGTTTTCTAAAGTTGTACACTTGAATCCCAGGATTTCTCAAGAAATCACTATATCCGCCTATTATCAGTAAATAACCTAAATCTGGTTCAACTATACACGCAGGATCAGCTACACTCGTTGCATTTTTTGTATCAAGCCGAGTCCACGGTATCGTGTCAGTAGTGAATGGAAGAGCGGCTGAGAAGAAGAAATTAGGATCAGACGATTGTGACGTTGAGTTTATAAAACCGCCAAATAGGTAAACTGTATTATTGTAAGTTACTAGACAATGATCTTGTCGCGTTCCTGGTGTTTGTGCATAACTTCCTATTGGATTTAATAATATTACTATTATTATTCTCATAAGCAATAGATTCAATTTCGTAAAAACAACACTTTTATAATGATACATTTTCAAAGAAAAAATAATCGTTCTTAAAGGGTACAGACTACATCTTATAACTATTGATTAATAATATTAACGGAGTTCGTTAATGCAACAGATTCTTGTCGATTAACCTGTCCGGTCCCGAAATAAAAATTGGATAGCTTTATACATGTATTCAAGCACGCTTATAGAAGAGATTTGCCGGATCTCCGAAAATGATTGGTGTTAATATGATCTTGTTAAATAATAACGATAATATAAAGTTAATTTGTACATGTATTACATGTAGTATTAAGGTAAACTATTTTTTTCCCAGAATGGCGAACGTTTTTATTATGATGATAAATAATAAAACGATTAACAATAAAATTGGAATCTTTTAGACTGAACAAAGGGTTTTTATTAGACGAACAACGGACCATTTTTCGCTTCTCGTTGATTTCTTTTACATGTTATCATCTATAAATGATATATACCTTCGGGACCAGAAAAGGTGTGACTTATAAAAGTCAAAGTTACCTATGAATCGAACTGGGAAAAGTATGATTGTAAAGAAGTGTGATTACGTACACAGGGTGTGATTGTATAAAGATACGATTATATTTTATACATTCATTAGCTGCATCAATGAATTAGCATACACTCGCCAAAAATTTTCATAAAGTGTTAGAAATAAAAAATCGAGATTGAGATGTGAGCATTTTATTGATCCTTTTTTCTGTTCTGCTTAGTGTTCCGAAGTTAATGAGCATATTTGAATCAAAACACAAAGCAAAGTACATGGACACCAGGATTTGACGACTAAATACGCCTAATTAATGTCGAATATATCAAGTTAAAATACATGTATATGACGGCAAAATACATCAAGAACAATCGACAAGGACCAGGTTAAACGCAGCATTCAGATGATGACGAAATTCGATAGCAATTTCCGAGTCACCTAATCAAGCCTAGAACACTAGCTGTTAATTTTAATGACTCTGAATTTATCTCGTTTGAAATCTTCAAAAACAGTCAGAAGCGAACGCGGACATTGTCCCACGTCCTGATATGTCTCGACCAATCGGGTGTCAGAGGACATGTCACCCCTGCCAAATTTTCATGTCTGTATATCCGTTGTGACCGAAATCGAGAATTAAAAGGAGAATGTAATGGTAGATAATTGATTCGTTATATTGTCGTTTAGCTAATTAATTCTCTTTCTTTCTTTGGATCCAAATTGTTTTAGATGACGCGTTAAAAACAATTGTTGTAATATAATGGGACAATGTTGAATATTAGTTGAATGAGCTTTTTATAGGGATAGAGTAAAATCCAAGTAGTAGATGTGATGGTTTATCATTGAATCAATTATCACGATAACGATACGATAATAGCAATAAATAACCATTGTCCGAGATTTGGATAAGAAAGGTTAGTGGTTTCAGAGTTAATTGAACTGATATACTTGCAACCATACTCTATAATTCAAAATACGTGATGCCATTTTCCAACTTCTACGTATACTGTTATCATTTACCATTACTATCGTTTTTAGAATGGAATACTAGATTAGGTGTTATCTCATATTCCATAATATGGCGGCAAGTATAGTTCAAACGTGAAAAATAAACAATGATTGCTCTCAATTCTTCCATCATAACATCATCTCTCTGAAACTTGTTAAGAATTTCGCAAATAGTGTTTCGAGTTGCCACAATCTTTGCCGCCATAAGGTCACATAAAATTCTCGCAATTTGCAAAAGGTTATGAATATATACCTTTAAAGTTGCTTGATTTCGCAACATACCATCAATACAAAAAAAATTGACTACCTCGCCTCACAAGGCAAAATATTAGCCATTATAGCATACTTCCTACCCATTTTAAAGCTTTGACTATTTACATTTTCTATACAAAGAAAGATATTTTCGCCGAGATCTTAGTCTAGTACAGATATGATAGTAAGCCAATTGGCATGGAATAATAAGCAATTGGATAAAAGTACATGTATTACAGTCAAAACCCGCAATAGTCACACATTTTATGTGACTATTGCGGGATTGTGACTAATATGGATGGATGAAAAAATTATCTATTTCACAAGTAAAATAACAAGCACTATAACTAAAATTTCACGCTGAACATTTTTGCTTAGAGGTTGGAGACTAGATGCCATAATAAGATTTTGCGTTATTTATGATTTTCAGTTTTGTTATTTGCTTACACGAGATCCTGAAATTTAATTGGTTTCGGATCTGATCATAGGTTCGATTTTATTTATCATAATATGAAGACTAATATTCGTGGATTAATTAGATAAGTTTTTAAATAAAAGCATCCTTCTTTCGCCATTTTATATATTTTTTTTTCTTAGTCTTTCACGAGCACCAACAATTTTTAATCGGTGATTTTATTAAAGGTTTTGTTGAGCTTATTCGAAAAAATGAAAAAAATATCCAGAAAAAGTGAGCGAATACCAAAAGAAGCCTGATTGGTGAATAGTGGAATCAATGTTATTTAAATGATTAGTTACCAAAAATCAGATTTGTTTGTGGGCCAAAAAATCTACAATGGTGCCTTGTTTCATCATTTTGGCAGCAACTTTATGAGTTTGTGAAAGAAAATCACGGAAGAAAGCCTCGTCATTTTCTTTAATAAAACCATCAGACTGCAATAAATTTTGGTGGATAAATTTGAGAAGTTGATTAAGGTTTTGTTTGATTTTAGTGAAGGTAATTATGGATTCTTCTTCAACTAAATTATCAGGCTTATTATTGTTCGACTTCTGGATTTTTAATGAGTTTTATAATTCGATCATCATCCATAAGTTTCTCAGTAATGATGAGTTCATTATTATCAATATAGCTTTGTGTGAACTATCGGAGATCTGTATTGTCAATCAGATTAATAATATTTTGGACTTCATGTAGTATTGTAACAATTTTGAAATTTGAGTGTTTTGGATGTTGGAGTCTTCATTGATTGCTGGCTTTATTTCAGGGAAAATTTTAACAAGATGCTGAAAAGGTAAGATTTCAGTATAACGCCAATAATTTCTTATAGTTTTCATGCTTATTGCTTCCCATATAGTTTTCACCAACTGTATCACCTGAAGTATATCAATCTTGTTTGGTTCCTTAATACCATCATCGAAATTATGAATCACTTGACAAATATAAAGACATTTATAATGTGCTTTAAAAGCATTAATGATTCTGGAATCCATGAGTTGCAAGTGGAAAGTAGTATTTGGAGGAAGAAAATATTTTGGTACTCGTCAAAATTACTGACAATGTGGAAGAAGACATTATCGACAAGCAACAGAATTTTTCACTGTTGAATCTGCAATCTACCCTGAAAACTATGAAGAAATTTTTAAAAAAAATGGTAAGTAATTTAACAGCAAATTTTATTAAATAAAGTAGAAGAAACTTAAATATATTCTAACACGTACACATTATGTTCTTTATTAATAATCTTTTCTTTAGATATAATATAATAATAAGAATTTTGGAATTAATATTAACAAGTTAACTAATATATTATTTAAATTCTATCACTAAATCACAAAGTTATAATTACAAAAAATATTTCATTATAAAGCAATATTCAAGAAATAAATAATTTATTTGCAAAGTTTAAAGCTAGATTAAATTTTATTTATATATATAAAAGACAAGTAATCATTCTCCTATTTATATATATAATTAATCTATATTTATTTGATATATTTGAACAATAATCTTAGAGTTATATATATTGTAATATGATTAGAATGAATAATATTTATAAGAATTTATTATATATTAAACTTATAATTATATATAATAGTAACTATTATAAAATTTAATATATATATATATATGTTATTATAAATAAAAATTACTAATAAAAATTTAAAATAATAAATTTGTATAACTATAATATAATTGTAACAAAATACAAATGTAACTATTGTGAGATTTGACTGTAGTAAAAATATAATAAATTTAAATCTTAATAAAAATTCTCTTGTACAAAACTTATAATGTCAATTAGAAATAATACAATAATATCAAAATTTATTAATTAAATATAATAAAATTTGAATTTTTTCTTTTTATATAAAAGTTTTCAATTTTATTAATAAATATTTTTTATTTTATATTTATATTAAAATAAAGATAATATTATATATTTTAATATATATTTTTTTTCAAATTTTTTAGATTTAATCTAATAAAGCTATTCTAATTGCATATAAATTTTATTTTTTTATAATTAAAATATATAAAAAATAATTGATTTTATATACAATTAGAATAACTTTATCAGATTAAATCTAATAAATTTGAAAAAAATATATGTTAAAATATGTGATATTATCTTTATTTTAATATAAAATAAAGAATATTTATTAGTAAAATTGAAAACTTTATATAAAGAAAAAATTCATATTTTACTATATTTAATTAATAAATTTTGATATTTCTAATTGTTACTATATATAATATTAAAATATTATTAATATATTTTTTTAACTATTTCTAAAATATAAATTATATATTATTTTATTAGATAATATAATAACTAATATTAAATTAAATTATATTATATAATAACAAATATATTATAATAATTATTATATTAAAATATGAATATATTTCTTTAATATAAGTTTATATATATAGTAACTTTTATAATTATTGTATTATAAGAAAATTATTAGTTTTTTAAAGCTAATAACTTAGAAAATTTTTGAAAATATAAAAAATTATTATTATTTTTTTAGAAAAATTAATTTATTTTTAATTAGTTGAATTTTAATTATAAATATTAAATATTAAATATTAATAAAAATAGTATTTATAAAAATTATTTATATAATATTATCAAAATTTATTAATAAAATATAATAAATATAACTTTTTATATAAAGTTTTTAAATTTATTAATTAATATTTTTTATTTTTATATAAAATACAAATAATAATATATAATAATAATTAAAAATAAATTTTATAATTATAATTTTATTTTTTTATATATTTATATTTTTATATTAAATTATATTATATATTAATAAAATAAGTACAAAGAGATAAAAATAAATATTTTAATATTGTAATTATATATTATAAAATTTATAAAAAACTTATAGCAATTAATTTTTAACTAAATTTTAAAAAATACTATAATATTTTAATATAATTTGCTTAATTATTACTTTTTTGTTCTAAATATATAATAATAATAATAACTTTTTTTGTATTTTGTATTTACAAATTTTTTGTTTAGATAGAATTACATTTTATTAAAAGTAAAATTTTTTTTACACCAAATTTATTTTAAAATTACAAAATATATAAATTAAATAACTATTCATCTCACTTTTTTTAAATATTTTTTATTATAATAAAATATTTTATTTACAAAAAAATCAAAAAATACAAAATATAATAAAAATTATACAAAAATTTTTATATCATTAGAAAATTTTTATATCTAATTATTATTCAATAATTAATTATTTTTAATTATAATAATTAATTATAATTAATTATAATTAGATATAATCAATAATTATTAAAATTGAATATAATTAATTTTTTATTTAAAATTAATAAATATTTATAATTAATAATTATTGATTTTAATTAATTATTTATAATTAATTGTAATTATTTATAATTAATTATTATTAATTATTATTAATTATCTTATCAATTCATCTTTTACAAGCATATATATAATATTAAAAAGCTTTCAAAATTTAATTCTTGGTATTAATTCAATAGATATTTCAAGTAATATTTTATTTTATTAATATTTTATTAATATAATTATAATTAAACATATAAATAAAAAATTATTGCACAAAAATATATTTAGATCTACTATTTTAATTTAATAATCATTAAATCTATTTTGATTTTTTTTATATTTCTGATAATAACATCTTGATTTTTTATTATTTTTTTGTTTCTTAAATATTGCTTTTATTTCTTTTATTTCTTTCATTATTTTTTTTATTTCTTCTTTCATTTCTTTCATCAATGTTTTATCCAATTTTTTGAACTGGTATCTGAAAATGTTATTACACATATATATTATATTTATAAACAATAAATTATGATTTGATAAATTTATATCATGTAATAAATAATTATTGAAAATTGAGAGTATAAAGATTTTCAATGTATTGCTCTTCTCATGTCTTGACATTATCTCTTTAAAAACATCAATATCACTAGTGCTAACTTTTGCTATTGAATAATTTTTGCACTGGACTAAAGTATATAATCTTTATAATTTTCAAATATATTTATACTGCTATCTTTATTTGATATCCTATATAATAAGTATAAAAGATTTTATAAGTAAATATTATTATTATTATTAAGATAAATATTTTGAAATCAAATGTGAATTATTTATTTATGTACTTTATTTATTATAACTTATACTTAAAGCTTTCAGATGATAAGATAATAAAGAACATTTACAAATATAATTACTTAACTAATAATTTCTCATAGTGCTCATAATATACTGTAATAATTATGTTATAAAATTCATTAATTCTATAATTTGTAATATTTCATAAAATTATTAAAATCATATAAAGAACTTAGAAAATTTTATAATTTTTTTATATATTATTAATTATAATATTCGTATATTTTTATTTTTCTACTTTGTACTCCTATACTTTTTATATTTTTTCTATCTTGTATTCCTATACTTTTTA